TCACTTAATTGTATCATATTGTTTATTGTATTTATTTGTATATCACATTATATTGTGTAAATCAGGTGTTCTTGGATAATTTGGCTATTATTATTGATTAGATCCTCTCAGGATGTGGCACAGGTTCACTAGCACTTGGTAATAAGGGCTCTGCTCTTTGGTAATATCGATGGCATATTAGATAGCCGATATAGTTAAATTAAAGGAAAAACAATCGCAAATAAACACACACAACAGGTAATCCGAAACGAGAATGCACTTTCCGGTATATTATATACTACTCTTTGGAATGCACGAATGCCACAGATTAGTGTTGAGTAGGGCTTACAAGAGGCGGTACATTTGTCCCGGACATGACGTCAAAATGTAAGAGCGGCTCAAAATTTTAAAATGTACTACTTCACATTAAATGTCGCGATAGTCGCGTCTCGTTACTCACTCACTCTTCGTAAGTCTGAGAGAGAGAGCGAGACATAACATTTTATTTAAGTCCTCTACGCACTATCCATCTGTATCTCTATCTCTTTTACGTGTATAGCGCTGTCCTGCATGCTGGATCCAGCAAGATTGATAGTGCGTAGAGGAGGTGCTACTCGTGCACACAAACGTAATGTCGAGCTTCTGTACGCCTCAATGTCATATTTGTACTTGTCACTTCAAATGTATTGCCGAGCTTCAGTACGCCTCGCCTCATTTGAAGTGGGACATTGTACTAGCTCAGTACAAAAAAGAGGCTACTCTTACAAACTCTTTTTCAAGTAGTGTCCTACCCAACACTACCACAGATTACTACAAATGAAAACTGCATGCACCACAACCACAGAGTAAAGAATTTTATGCCGGCCCTTCTCTTGACAACAGTTTGTCCTTGTCATGCTTAGTAAGGAATGAAAAGGACAGACTGATGTCATGTTTTAAAATAGCAAATACGAATAACCAAGTGAAGTGCCGACATTAGGAAGAAAAAGTGTTTTGTTTGCAGCGCTGCCATAGGGTGCGGCCAGAGTGCACTCAGATTCAGATTCAGATTCTGAAAACAAGCGCGAGAAATAAACAGTGTAGTCGAAGGGTACGGCCAGAGTGCACTCCTGATTCAGATTCAGATTCGGACTCAGAAAACAAAGCGCGAGAAAAAGCAGGCAACCTGCTTAGACTACACTGTTTATTTCTCGCGCTTGTTTTCAGAATCTGAATCTGAATCTGAGTGCACTCTGGCCGCACCCATAGATTATACACATAAAATGGTATTTATTGTCTCAGATTATTTTTTAACTTTTTAATTTAGCTTACTTAACTGGAAGTGTCCGTCACAATCTAAATACTGATAATTATCGCCAAAAATATACTAAGAATTATCATAAATGCCAAATTGGTGTTGGTTCTTAGGCCAATTTTAACATTGTCCTTTATTGGCAAAATTCGTATCAGGTTGAAATGGGGTTTGGCTGTTCATGTGGTTCTTTTTAAAACAGTAAGCAGTGTAAGGCTTGTATTATGGGATACTAGGGTAACGGATAGAATACATATACTGATACATATAAGCGATAGAGTTTTTTTTAATGACGACCTCCGTGGTCGAGTGGTTTGTACGCCGGGTTTCATGGTGTAGCCGACTCGAGAGGTCCCGGGCTCGAATCCCGGTGGGGCCAGATGTTTGTGTGATAAATACGATCATTTGTACTCCAGTCACGGATGTTTAATGTGTATTTCTATATAAATATACTTATATATGTACAGTATATGTATTCTATCCGTTACCCTAGCATCCCCATAACACAAGCCTTACAGTGCTTACTTTGGGGCTAGGCTAATTGGTGTGAGTGTTGGAAATATTTATTATTTATTATTATTATTATTACACTCAATTGTCAAATTACTATGGAGTTTAACAGTTAGATCGGATACAAAACGTGTTAAAATGTCAATTGTGGTGCTCATGCTACGTGGACAGTATCAATAAACCGCATCACCAAGTCTGACCTGAGGACCTTCATGAAAATATAATCAATATTTCCAAGAATGAGGACACAGACACAGAGGAGGAGCTCGATGACGCAGGTGGCTAGCGCGTTCGGCTGCAATCGTTGAAGTTAAGCAACTTTCGCAGTGGTCGGTCATTGGATGGGTGACCAAAAATTTACTATCTCGAGCTCCTCCGTGCTTCGGAAGGCACGTTAAGCCGTTGGTCCCGGCTGCATTTGCAGTTGTTAGCACCCACCAATCCGCACTGGGCCCGCGTGGTGGGTCATGGCCCAATCTCCCTATTCCATCCATAGGGAAGGCCTGTGCCCCAGCAGTGGGGACATTAATAGGCTGATGATGATGATGAGGACACAGTACCGGCAGAAACACAAAACCACAAAAAAGTTATGTTTGGGTACTTCTTCTTCTGCCGCCCGCATAGCAGGCGAGTTTTCTACCACTTCTTCTTCTTCCTGCCCTTATCCCATCTTTATTTGTGGTCGGGCCTTCTCGTGCATTTGCGCCAGGCTATTCTGTCCCGGGTTCTCATCGGTGATAGTTTTTGGTATTTAAAATCTCTTTCCACGTATTTTTTAATTTCAATTAAAAATGTAATGCGAATGTAAAAGATAATTAAGACGATCTCCGTGGCCGAGTGGTGTGTACGCTGGGTTTCAAGGTGTCGCCTACTCGAGAGGTCCCGGGTTCGAATCCCGGCGGGCGCAGATGTTTGTATGATGAATACGAACATTAGTACTCCAGTCATAATAATAATAATAATAAACGTTTATTGACTTAAAGCAAGTTACAATATTTTAAATTAATAATACAAAAATTGGTGACAAGAGGCACATTGGAGCTTAAATATTGTTAAAAGTGACTTCTGTTGCCAGTGGTAGGATAACCTGTATTACAGGCAACAGGGTCCCCTCTATATACGTAAATACTGTAGCCGATTTAGGTGTGCGCACATTGGTTGCATGATTAAATGGTCATGGTCATGGGTTTGAAATATGTATTTCTGTATAAATATACTTATATATGTACAGTATATGTATTCTATCTGTTACCCTAGTATCCCATAACACAAGCCTAATAGTGTTTAGCTTGGGGCTCGGCTAATTGTGTATGTTGGAAATATTTATTTATTTATACTAGTTTATTAAACAATGTCCCTCTGGGGGTGACGTCTGTCTATATGTATGTTCGCGACCAATTCCAAAATTACTGAACGGATTAGCATGCAGTTTTTACCATCAGCGTCGTTCACGGAAGATTTACGCGTTTAATACAAGAGGAGTAGTCACTAGTTTTGATTAAATATATAAATACTAGCAAACCAGTGAACCAAATGTTCACCAAAACCTGATTTAAAAAAAAAAGAAAAAAAAATGTATTTAATTAATTGAGAACTTCGGAGATTTTGTGTGGTTTCGTTTGAAATTTGTGATTTCTCGAAAACCGGAAGTGCTACGTTACTCAAATTCGGTTTGTAGTTTTATCAGACTATTCTTAACTTTTAACTTAAACATTCTCTTTATCTATCTCTTACGGTTTGGCCGCTGAAACAGCACCACAGACAGACGGACGGACTTGTCTAATAGATAAGAGATTTATACCAAACCTACCGGAACCCTATTTCCATTAATAAAATTAAGGTAAGTATTTATCCGTCAATTCTATTTCCGTTATCTATAGACTTAGGTAAAGAAAAGGACATTTTGAGTATTAATAACCTAAAATCAAATAGTTTTGTTTGAAATTCCTTCCTTCCTTTGAAATTGTGTAACTCCTGCATAATTTTCAAACAACTGAAAAATCAAAAAGAAGATTCCTACATGAATTAATCTAGCCGTTTTCTACATGTGACCTGAAACCATTCAAAGGTTTCAGTCTGAATGAATATACAAAACATAAACAACGTATAGTATTTATTTCTTACTAGCGGCCGCCCGCGACTTTCGTACGTGTGTGGAGTTAGTTATTTGCACACACTTTTTGATCCCAAAAGGGGGTTTATTTCTAAAGATACATTATTAGTACACCCCTACACCATCTATAAAGCATTCATGTTGAATTTCAAGTCTCTTACTTGAAAAGATAGGACTTTCATACAAACTTGCAATCCCCGTATTACCGCCTTAGGGGTGGAGTTTCGTGATAATATGTAGCCTATATGTTGACCCGATTTCTTAATAATATTCGTGCCAAATTTGTAGTGAATCCATGCAGTACTTTTTGAGTTTATCCCGGAATTTCACACAGCCAAAAATTCTAAAACCTATATTTTTGGCTTCGGTATCGATTGTAGATCACACCCTAAGTATTCTTTAAAAAAAATATCCAATGTACAGTTTTGACTTTCCTACCATTTTATTGTATGTATATTCGTGATGTATAGATTACTACTAAATAATTATATTGATATTTTTAATTTTATATGTTGCTATGAATAAGAAAAAACTTATGTAGCTTTTCACTTTTCACTTTGAGAAAATCAAAGCTAACCCAAATATGAACGGAAAAGGAAACTACTATAAGTAGGCAAAAGTTCCACAGTGAATTCCACCTGATGTCGACTTCTATTTTCAAAATGTCACGTGTTACAACACGTGTTCCATCCTGGCCAGTCCTGACCTTCCTCATGTTGGCCACAGCGCATCCTCCACCGTTCCCGCACCGCGCACAATCAATAAAACACACGGGACTTCTAGCAAACCTTTGCAAGCCACCTCGTGTATAACCTCCTCGATGGCTCCGACTTTTCTTTAGAAAAAAAAATCGACCCTATTTAAAAAAAAACATTCGAAAGATTTTCGAAATTTTGAATTTTTCCTTTTCGAACACTTTTATTGTAAGTAATAGTGTTGTAGACTTTCGATAATGATATATAGTTAAATAGCTTACCAAAAAAAGAGTAAAAAACGTTACGATAAAATATTGGAAAAGTGACATTTTCTGTAGTTAAATTAATCTATATCACTTTCCTAATCACATTATGGACAATAACAATGTAGACAAATGGTATGTACACTTACGGAAAAATATTTGTTAATCTCCCAAAAGAGAACCTCCGATTTGCGACTCCGTATACGCGAAATAGAGTCACTGCTTATTTTTTACCAGTCGGTGTGAATATTACGCGGAAATATTATGAAATTTTTCAACCCCATACGCAGGGGACGGATATCCGCCGCGACTGTGCTGCACTGACTGGCCTGCCAACACCGATATCGGCATAAGGATGTTGGACTTTGCGAAAACTTTTATCGATAAATTACCTAGAGGTTGCTTAGGTTATTTTTTTTAATGTGCATTCATTTTTGTTAATAATATAACAAAAACGACTCCGTTTGCAATTAAAGATTATCGGTAGGCGTACATCGCATAAATACAACCCTCTGTGGTTTTAAGGTACGATTGGTTACAATCCTACTATTCTTATTCCTACTAATACTATAAAGGTGAAAGTTTGTATGTTTGTTACTCAATCACGCAAACACTACTGAACAGATTTGGATGAATCCTGAGGTATTCTCAAAAAACTAAAGTTAACGCGGATCAAGTCACGGGCGGCCGCTATTACTGTTATATTTCTTTTAAACTGTATTTTGAAATAAATAAAAGTATTTAGTATTTTATAGAAATTCAAATATAAAAATTAATCCCTTTTTCCCCTGGTCACGCCTTGAATAGCTTTTGAACAATTATAATTTTTAAGTTTTCTAATAAATTTTACGGAAGTTTAAAAACTTAAGAAAGTTACGCGTGTTCGTCTTCGATTAATATTGATGCGTTTTGTAAATTTCTTATATTTCCTTTATCAACCTCCAGACTCCAGATATAGAACTTCAAAGCCCTTAGAGCTCGTTCCTCCACGATATAACATTTTGTTTCATATAGTTTTTATTTACATTTTTTTTCTGTCTACCTTAAACTTTAAACTTTAAAACACAATAATATAAAAGCTTAGTATATATTGATGAATGGCAGACCGTAATGAGTCAGCTCTCCTATATCGTTTAGCATGTTTTTCTTTTAAAATATGAATTTCGATGTATCATAATTTGTAAGGCATCACGGCGGCTCATTTTTTTAAGTTTTTGTTCTTAAGACATTTTCTTTTTTATCTGACTGCACCAGTAAGAACGTTTTTATAGCCAGGTAGGCACACGTCTCTACCCCACCTGATGTTAAGTGGTGACAAAGTCCAAACGCGAAGATAGCTGGTACAGCAGTTATAAACTGCTACAGCAACCATCCTCACCTAGCCGGCCTGCAAAACTGCTTCTTCACGTCTCTCTTCAAGGACCCTTGTTATAAAGGACCTCCGTGGCCGAGTGGTGTGTACGCCGGGTTTCATGGTGTCGCCGACTCGAGAGGTCCCGGGTTCGAGTCCCGGTTGGGGGCAGATGTTTGTGTGATGAATACGAGCATTTGTACTCCAGTCATGGATGTTTAATATGTTTTTCATATAAATATACTTATATATGTACAGTATATGTATTCTATCCGTTACCCTGGGATGCTAGGGTAACGGATAGAATCCCATCCCATAACACAAGCCTTATAGTGCTTACTTTGGGGCTAGGCTAATTGGTGTGTGCTGGAAATATTAAAAAAAAAAAGGTTATGCTTTTCTGAGTAAAATTCAAGTTGTTTTCTATTTCTAAGCCTTTTCACCATCATCATCAAATATCAACTCCTAAATAACTTGCATAGATAGTACTAATATATAAACCTTCCGTCATTATTTCCCGAAATACGCTGCTAAAGCATTTTTGAGGCAAATACAGACACATCTGCCCCCTAGCATGTGCACCGCGATATGATATATATATTCATAATAAATACCCATATTTGATAAATTTTAAATCATTTCTAAAGGTAAATACTATTTATCCCGAAATTATTATCCAGGGTTATAATATTTTACTCATATTAATAAACTAATTATACATATTTCTAATGTTTCTTTTTTATAATAATCTTCAGACTCGCTTTTCAATCAACTTCTTTGTTTAGACAACAACATCACGGTCAAACTAAAAATAAACGATGTTGAACACAACAACTAATGTCAATTAATTATCTCTATAAAATTTTAAGATAATTAATGAATAACGCCGAAGACATGTGTTTACGCTAACAGCACATTTTTTATTTTTAGACGTAACAGAAGAAAATACTTAAAATATGTCAATATCAATGGAAAAGGATGTCAATAGAGTAGTCTCAAATAGCCTTTAAAAATGCCAACAAGTGCGAATCGGGCTCGCCCAAAGAGGGTACCTTTTTATGTAAAAAATCTTTTTACAGACGACATGGCGCCTTAAAGAGGCACACCACCGAACGGACCTCACACCTAGCTCCCGCAAGTGGTCCGTAAGACTTGACCCTAGTGGCTGCCCTGCGAGGACCCCGCAACTCTTACGCTCCTCTGGCGATCGTACCGTCGCATGCAAAAATCTGTGTAGGTCCTAATTTATCGCTAAAATCTGACGATTTTGTTATCGATATCTACACAGGTTTACGCGAAGTCACCCCTATTAAAGGATGACGTCACGTCTACCAGGGGTGGACATGCGCGCGGAAAATTCAGCGCCATCTTGTTTTCGTACGGGACTTTACGGCTCTGCTATTGGGTGATTCTGCCTGATTTCGCAACGTGAAAATGGGGAGAAATTGGGCAAAGCAATGCTAGCGGTACCTAGAGGTGTTGTGAAGACAGATTTTCGGACCATTAGGAACTTGAAACCTTAAACTCTAATTTTAGATTTGCTTCTTTGATTCAGTATAATAAACTTATATGTCTGTTTTTCGACGCCGGAAAATCTCCTATCTAAAACAGCATTATTTTTAATTCGCTGGCTGATTTCAACGGTGATGTAACCATTCAAGATCAAGGTTGGTAAGAAGTTGTTACTACAGCCAATTATTATCCTGAATTCGATGATTTCGTCACCTGAGACGGTGACTCATGTTTACCGTCCGCGTCCTTCAGGATTACATAAGAACTTTTTCCAAATGGTCCAACTGATGTGGAAAGCTGTTTAGTACACATACATATTACATTGCATTAGATACTTTATATTGAATATTGTTTTTATAAACAAAATCCGCTCCCATAGTAGGAAACTAAACAAAAAAAAACGACGGTTTGCACTCCGGGAGTGCCGGCAGAAGTGAAAAATTGAATATTAACGTTGTGCATTTTTGATATTTTGGATTGGTTAGGGAATAATTTTGCATGAATTGCTGTAATTATCAGTATAAAAGTACTATCATGTATGTGGTAGAATACAATATTTATTTATTGCTATCATACACAAACATGACAATATATATTACATTAAAAGAATTATCTCTTAGAAAAATCAACTTACATGAATCACGTTTAAGCGCACTTAGCGACATCTATTGTAAAGAAATCAACTTACATGAATCACATTTAAGCGCACCTAGCGACATCTATTGTAAAAAAAAATGGGTGCGTGTACTTATGTAGGCGCGTGAGAAGTTATCCTTCTTTGGCATCGTTTAAAATTAGTTTTTAATTGCATGCAAATAATTAATTACAATAAATTAATAAAAAGTCTGGAAAAGGACACAGTCAATAAAGTTCAGTTTTAATTTGAAAAAATAAATAAATAATCAAAATATTCAATTAAAATCGCTACTGAATATAATTTATTAGAACATATGTGATTTGCACTTGTATGAAACTCAAACACGTATTCCGAATATACAAACTAGAAACATGTGGATAAATATTATAAATATGAATACCTATAACTGTTACTTTATTACAAAAAATAAAGATGTGGTTTTTGGTTCTACTACACCAATGGTCAAGAGATGGCGCTGTAGTCTCCTGAATCGCGCTTTGGTTCCGTTGTTCCAGATTAATAAATACTTTTAATATTATAAATATGAATACCTATAACTGTTACTTTATTACAAAAAATAAAGATGTGGTTTTTGGTTCTACTACACCAATGGTCAAAAGATGGCGCTGTAGTCTCCTGAATCGCGCTTTGGTTCCGTTGTTCCAGATTAAATAAATACTTTTGATAGGCCTTCACAATGCAGTCGTTAGCACCCACTAAATAGAAATTCTATTTCTATTTTGTTGGTAGATTTTCTTAATGTGCGGTAAACACAAAAGTAACGCATGAAGTCTTATTTGCGGTATAGTATTAGGTTTTGGGGCAATTCATATAAATTTAATATACAGAGAGCTTTTTTGTTACAAAAGGAGCTAACAGAACTATTCCAATTAAAATAGTTCGTATTCCACAATGGGAATTATGTAGAGAATATTTCGTGAAATTGAAAATTTTAACCGTCCCTTGTCTTTATATTTTAACAGTTTTGTACAGCTTCGCAAACAAGATCTGAAACTTTTGAAACGCCAATAGACAGGGAAAGGCTTTTGAAAACACGCAGAAAGCCACATCTGATCAAAACTTAGGCCCGTATTACAGAATGACAACTAAGTGTTGATCTTTACTTGAGTACAGTTAGAAAGGGATGTCGCTATGTGCTATTAAGCGACATCCCTTTCTAACTATGATTAAAAATAGATCAATCAATGAGAATTTTTCTATGATACGGGCCTTTATGTTGTTAAACATGGCTCTAGTTACCAGGCGGTCGAAATTTTTAATAGGCTTCCAACCAAATTGAGCGACATCTTGTTGAAAAAATTCTATTACAGTGTTGATGAATTTATGAGACAGGAATAGGTTCACATGTTTTTTTATATGATTTTTATCCAATTCGACATCGTGAATTTGAATTTTTTTTTCTTAAAATTGTAACAATCCAGTTTGACATCAAGAATTTTGTAATTTTATTGCTAAATTAATATATTATTTTATTTGTCTGCTTTAATTTTGTATTTCTTTTTTAATTCCAACACAAATAGATTGTTTAATGGAATAAATGAATTGAATTGAATTGCATAATTCATTACATATTTAAAAGGAAAATTATCAGTCACAGGTATGACAAAATTTCTACGGTCTAAGTTTAGATAATTAATAATCCACTTTTTTTTTTGAACCTGCTAAACATTTATTAAACAAATAACTATAATTACGTCACAACAATATCAAACTAAAAAACTTATCATTAAAAATTAACCCTAAAATATTAAAATACATATACACAAGAGGAATATGTCATCCAAAATTCCAATTTAGGGCATGGTACCCAGAACACTGGC